TCACATGTCTACATGTCTAACCCACATACTCGCAAATCTGGTAACACCTACGTACAATTATAACAAAAAGTTTCCTAATAACTATAAACTCCATAGTGACAGATGTTCATCACCTTACAAATATAAATTTTAAATTATTTTTTTTTGAACAGTACAGCAAACACAAAATGTAATAATATGAATTCTTTAGCTGAAACAATGAAGATTTCTTCAGATTCGAAACCTTTACCTGAATTCAAATTTTAAATATCTGACAATGAATAAAAGACCTATATTTTTTTTTTTGCTGGAAATGATCATGCCAGGTATCAACTAAGGCTTGTTCTTCCCGCACAAGAGGGCAAATGTTTCCTTAGCATCGTCGTTCAACGCGGAAGACAGCCAGCACATACCCATGGTCGTTGGTGATGTGGTTTTCCTTCTCGATTTCAGTGATCGTCACGTCACTGTTATCCGCGCTTTCTCGACGTTTACTTGTTTTCTTAACCTTACGAACTTTACGTTCCGTTGTCGTGAACTGCATCTGAACTTCTACATCGGCCATTATTGTTTCGTTATTATTCTTCTTCTTCTTTATATACCACGAGCAACCAACAGATTATTCAAAAATTCCCGAAAACTAAAGACACTATTTCGAAGCAAATATTCCACCGAAGTGGAAAACGAAATTATTCGAAAAATTTCTCTCTCCAAAAAGTCACGGCAAAGCGTTCTGAACACGGGTACGACCGGTGACCGACTAGAACTCCTGATGTACCACACAGAATACCATCTCCTAGCTCCCTCCCCCACCCCCTCTGTTAACAACCATTCTCCGTCGCCAAATTTCTTGTTTCTCCTTCGACATTCGTTGCCCCAAATCACGCCTGCTAATCCCCATGCGCAAAGGTGGACGGCGCAGATGTGTGATGCACAGAAGAACCGATACAGCATGTTTCGAAAAGCAATGCACAACTCGTAATTCCATCATCATGACAGAAATTCAATCAAGGCCTTTCAGGTAAAATACGTCTGTACGCGCACATCAAACCACTTAGCCAGTAAAAACTATTGGTACTCGGGAGTGACGTCATAAGTTTACGCTCTCAAATCAGGACCACCCCCCACCCCCACCCCCCATCAAATAACCTGTGAAAAAGGTCTAAGTCTTCGCAAAATAAATGTTACAAACTTTAATAAAATCTTGCTTTCTCGTAAATCGTTTAGAGCCCCGTGGTAATCATACGTACCACGTGCTGTAACAATCAGTAACTCTTAATTCTGCCCACACAATACGCATTTATGGGGCTCGTGTGGTCTCAGAACAAACAGCTATTATTTCCTTAAACAGCATCGCGGAGACGCGTCGTGTTTTATTTGAGGTACGGACTGGACTTTTATTTGAACTTTCTGGTTTCCATGACGACAGACTCTCTGGAGGTGCCTGATCGTTCGTCCCGCCTCTTTCTGGCAGAACATCGAAAGTCTGCACTTAAGACCTAAAAATCTTTAGGTAATAACAGAACGAACTAATATCATTACGTTAGGCACACGTTTAATAACTTTTAGCTTAAGACTGAAAATAAAGACATGTAAAGTGACTTGACAACTCTGCACAATTCGGCCTTAAATTTAAATTTAAATTTAAATTCATTGAGGGCATATGAATAAAGGAAGTACGAATGAGAAAGACGATAAATACACTTATATAATTCTTCATAAAGTCTGATAGTAAGGGATCGCTCGTCCACATCACAATAGACGACATGATAATATTAAAACGGAACTTAAAGGAAAAAGGTGTTAATAATGTGGATTAGATTCATCTGACTCAGGATATGAACCGGTGGTAGGATGTTGTGAGCACTGTAATGAACATTCGAATTCCATAAAAGGCTGGGAATTAGATTGACCGTCTGATCGACTATCAGCTTCTCCATAATGACTAAGTTAGTTACGAATGTCTGGAGGTGTATCGGAATTCAAAAAGGCAAAATTCAATCTTCACGCCTACTTCAAATGACGGCCTTTACCAGGCTTAAAAATAACACATGCTTACACATTAAAGCATAAGCTATTTTGAACCGGCTAGTCAAGAGCTTACGAAACCGTCAGATACGTGCAGTTTGGCCGGAACAAGACAAGTTACTACTGTCACTGCCCAGGAAGACCAAAACGATATCTCACATCTCCCCCCGGTCTTCACAGAATCCGTTTCCTGGTTGCCACATACACAGGTCTTACTTAGTAGATCCATTGGAATCCTCCCTACCCCAGAACACACAATTGGCAGTCAGCAACCCTTTAAACCCCGGTGGTAATTATTAAAAATCGGTAACTCTGAATTTTCCCCAGGGATCGTATACGTTTCGTACGATTATCAGAATAAACAGCGATTATTTACTTAAACAGCGTTAACCAGTTGATCTTTGTAATGGTGAAGAGTTGTGTTTTCTTCGCGGTACGGTCTGAATCTTTAAATACGATTTAGACGGGTTAATAGACTCTCATTATGGGTTTCGTGTGATTCTCAGTGTAAACAGCGATTATTTCCTTAAACAGCGTTAACCAGTTGATCTTTGTAATGGTGAAGTGCGTTGTTTTCTTCGCGGTACGGTCTGAATCTTTAAATACGATTTAGACGGGTTAATAGACTCCCATTATGGGTTTCGTATGATTCTCACTGTAAACAGCGATTATTTCCTTAAACAGCGTTAATCAGCTGATCCTTGTAATTGGTGAGGTGATGTGTTTTCTTCGCGGTACGGACTGAATTCTTAAATACGATTTAGATAAGCGTCGTCTTTAAAGGGTTTATACTTACATCTCACGGATTTGTTCGCACTGAATATTCCGTGGAATTTGGCACAGTTATAATCTTATTTAAATAACCTTAACCATGTGTAAACAACGGAGTTTTCTTAGCCTCAATGACATCGAGGGGAAAAAAATGCAAGGTTGCTACCTTCTAATATTCGCCTCATTACCTATATTTAAAATTCGTCAAACTAATGGCGACTTGGTGGGGCGGGGGGAAACTTCTAACACTCTGAGTGATGAAGAGATGGGGGAGTCAGCACCGAAATAACGAGAAAAAATGGACCAAAGGTAAATAAGCTCTATGCTTTGTGCACTTCAACTAGTGTTATTAGACGAGAAGACAAACGATTGTGAACTTAATGGTTCAAAGAATTCCTCAAATTAATTTTCTCTAACATTTTTCATGGATATGATTCTGATTTGTTACAGCCGGTCGCAAATATTTTAATTCTGCCACATTTTCAAACAATTAATTAGTTACATACATATAGTGATTGTCATGTACTCTGGTGACAAGACGTGATGAGACACTTAGTATTTTTTTCTGTGTCCACGTTTAGATAAATCTGCTTACTAGCATACAAAAGAATGTTTTCCTTCGCATTTATCATAAACTAAGATCAGATCTTATAGGATAATGGGAGTGAAACAAGAGAATCAGTAAGGCAAAGTAGTTTCCTGATAAAAAATGTCTTAACACTGTATATAATTTTATGAAATGTTTATTGCGCAGAAACACAGTCAAATCTACAATTTAAACTTATTTTTTCTTAAATTACACATATACTTTGTGCTCTTACGTGAACATTTTCCTACATACAGCTGTTTGTATGCAATTACTGTAGCAAAACTTCAACCAAAACTGCATACAGTTTAAAAAGTTGATAACAGAATATGACATAAACTATTTTCAACAAAAGCACCTTTAAAACAACAGTCCTCACATCGCTTATGGCGATGTTTGTAAGAGCTAAGTAATACATTTATTCATAAAAATATGTAGTTAATAAATCAAGTGCGGAAAATCAAATAAAAAATTAAATAAGTGTTAAAAAATGTGTCGTGTAATGACAAAAAATACATTATTAATAATTTATCACAGCGTTATTAAACGTAAGCTTGTAAAAGAAATTACCAAGAGGACGGAAATACTTTTATCGCATGCCCAATTTTCCCCCTTTGAATTAAAGTGTCACTAAACAGCGAACAGAAGAACAGATCACACGTTTCGTCGTATCAAAAGTTGGAAAATAAATCATTCCACTTCGAAACGCGCAGGGCTGTACGAAAGCGCTACCTTCCAGCAAGTTCATGGACAACATAGAATGGCATATTCGACCAAAGTCTGCTCGCTCGCTTGGTTCGTTTGTTTCTGCGTCATGACTTTAAGTTTCCACAGATCCATGAATCCAAAGAGAACAACATTTCATATAAGACACTGAGATAAGGAGAGACGTATTATAATATGATTTAATCCATTTGAGTTCATGAAAACAATTATAAGGTAGTATATTTGCGTCATATTGTAAATTAGGTTAATATTTTAATATTTTCCGTCAAATCACAATTTTAATAAGAGAATAAAATATATAAAATATTTAAAATATCATTTCGATGCGGAACGTGAAATGATATTTTAAATATTTTATTATCTTATTAAAATTCTGATTTGACGGAAAATATTAAAATATGAAAACAATTATGTCAAAACACACAACAGAACAGCTTACTTTTCGACGTGACGCAAGCAAAAACATTACATACACTTAAAATTTGAAAACAATATTAAACATAAGAATGTTGGCGTTATTTTCATCAGTAATTAAATTATTATGTAAGTGTAGTCGCATTACAAAAATAATAAAATATACGCATAGCGTAAAATTCCCCCACTCAGCCAGCACTTTAAGCAGAAACGAGTGTGTGAATTGCCAGTTATAGTCATATTCGACTAAAACTGAACTGTGTCCACAAATTTTAATGAAACACCCACAATACCAAATTTAATCAAAATCCGTTCGGCCTTTCTCAAGTTGTTAAATCCGTACAGACGGATGGACACAAACGATCTCAATAGCCGCTCCTCAGGGATGCGAACGGCTTAAAAAGTAGCAGACACAGATCCAGACAGTTTTCTAAATATAATTTCCAGCAAGTTGCATCCACTACAAGTCACAACGAAATATTTGTCCGTCCTCGTCTCTTCTGCTCATTTCAAGACCGAAACAATTTTAATCAGAAGTCAATGTATTCAGGGCCCGTCGCTGCCATGCCTTGGCTTCGTCAGTCTGTCTGTCAATTGGCTGCAAAGTGCTCGAGAGCTACCATGAATCAACGCTCTGTTACATTGACGTAAGCTGGCAAACAGTGAATCACAACGCAGATGTGAAGACGTTTCAAATTTAACTGCATCTCAACTACCACAGAACGAAGGTACGAAGTTATTCGATCAAAAACTTCAGTTAACAAAACATAAGAAATCCTGATATTGTCCACACGGATATATCGTGTACACACACATCTTACAAAACGAAATCATATTCAATGTTTTAAAACCCTAGTATATCGGCTGATTTATTTACAAGCTTCAAGGAAACATGTAAAAAAAAATACTTTTCCAAACTAAAATTCGTAATATTTTAAAACATCTACTGAATAAGACCACGACGTGTCTACTTTGAAGTGGAATCACGATTTTATTTTGTACACGGATTTCTAAGTACCTACAAATACGTACAGCTTTCAAATAAAAATTAATTCGCAACAATTTAATAATCATAATTAAGCCACATAATATTTTTAAAACATTATATCCGAGACCGAACTTAACGCAGGCTGCATTTCGGGGGATCCAGAACGCGTACGAAATTTCATCAAATTCTGCTACACACACGATCAGGACGCTGTAACGTCAGTTGCAGCCTCCCCCTTCCTGAAGTTATATTTAAAAGCAAGTACGAAGCCAGACGTCTCTGGTAGTCCAACATTAATACCAAACTACTTTGCCGAAACTGTACAGAAATCAGAGCGTACGACGATCTCGCTGAATTTCTACCAGGTTTAGTCGCAAAGAAGCAACTCGAGTGAGAAGGGAAATCGAAGTACGCATTTAAGAACTACGACATTAAAAATACGATATATGACCAAGGTTCAGTACATAAAGGAACACGACGTCATGAAACACTTTATGTCGAAACGAACGCAGAAAGTTTCAGATACCACAGCCGTACACACTGCGACCATTACAAGTAAAATATTAATTCTCATTCGCTAAAGACATGCCTGAGGCTCTGATCTCCTAAAAATTGATCTCGCTCTGCTCCAGATTACAAACAGCGATAAGGAAAGATTCAAGAATTATTTAAGGATGTCGTGACCTATTGTCAAGTACGGTATTTCATCCAAGAAACAATAAGTAAGTTAAAAGAATATCAGATGTTAGGTTACATCATGATTCAGAATCGACGCCTATGCCTACAAGGGAAAAATTGGGCATGCCAGGACAAAGATCCTTTCAACACAAAATTCCATACACTACAATACATAACTACTGATCGTGCAACTAATGGTTTATCACATAATGCGACTCAACTACACATGAACTTTGATATGCATATCCTAATTGTAATCACAGGGCGATGTTGTTTGTTTTACAGGATCTGAGACCATGCAAACTCGCATAAAGGAGTCTACAAGGCGTCACAATCCAGAATATCGTCACATTCGCCGCCTTGAGAGAACATCAGATCTCACAAACAATAACAAGATTTAAGGTTATCACGGCGGTAAAGAGATCGATGTTCAACATTTGGCATGTAACGCCACGTGTACCCGGACAAATAAACCAAAATCCCCGAGGTAAAATACTGCCTCCAGGAAGGAAGTCGTCAACCCTGAATATAAAGGCAGTACGTTCCTCAGAATATTTCAAACCAACCGAAAAGTTCAGACGTCTTTATAACTGAACAGGACAACATCTGTAATTATAATAATTAATTAGATCAAGGCAGTAGTCAAATTAAGGTAATATCGAGTAAGATTCAATAAAATGAACCGAAATATTGTTAAATGCAATTTAATGCTGAATTTCGGGAAACATTTAGCACGCGGCGACATTCTGCCATCACCTCATCATAGCTGCTTCACCCAGAAGAAAAGGCATGTGTATGATTCAAACACACAGTTTATAAAATCAAAACAGGTTCCGCTGTGCATTTGAGTGTTAATTAACTATTCCAAACATGTACCACACAATCCGCTACCATGGCAACACACAAGTAGTAGTGAAACACACGGAGAGAGAGAGAGAGAAGTATTCATTTTTTTTTCGTTAAAAACATCGGGATAACGCCACTGACTACACCTAACGGGTTCCACCGCCACTGCTTACCCAAAAGGCTTCTTTCGGGGCAGATTTCTGTTGTGACGAACTCTGCTCTTCACTGACGCTCAAATCATCGTCATTATCATCACGCATTCCCTCGTCTGTGTCGCCCTGTCTTTGGGTCGTGTCATCTTTCGGTGTTTTCGATTCGTTTAATTTCGGTGGGTTTCGTTCTGTCCGAATTCTCGGGCATTCTGCGACATCGCCTTTTCCCGTCGTTTCTCCAGCCACTGCCTCCTCTTCCTCTGCTACTGAAACATCCGTCATCTCATCTCTTGGTTCTGCACCAAACGCGTCCCAATTTCCCTCCGCTTCGCTGTCGCACGACACGACGTCTTCAAACGACGAAGATCTGGCGGGTTTCCTGTACAGTTTCTTCGGTTCCTTTACGCTTGAAGCACGAATCAATTTCGGATTATTTTCACTAAACGACGTGTCTTCGGTTTCTTCGTCCTGTGCCCTGATTTCCGTCGCAGAACTGTACCTCTTCTGTTTATAACCCTTCCGCCTTTGAAGTTTCAATTCTTTTCTTGAAAAATCATTACCAGAAGCGATATTTGAAGGCGATTTATCTCGGAAGATGATCGAGACGGGTTGTTCATCAAGCAAATCGTCGCTCTCTGGACTCTCCGCTGATTCTGATATCCTCCCCTCACTCGCGTTTGGAGTCGTTTCAGACTTTGTCGATGTACTGGTATCAGCTGGCATTTTGATGCAGGAAGACCTCGAAGATGTCTCTTCCACGAATTGTCGTAACAATTCTTCGTCTTCATTTGCAAACACTGACTCAGGTGTTGCGAACGACACCGATGGCCTCTTTATAACGGGAGTACCTGGGAAGAATATCGGCCAGCTGATATCTGCTTTGGACTTTCTTGGAGCAGAAGGGAATTTTATCGGAGACAAAGATGGCTGATGATCTGTTGGTAACGGGGTGACAGAAGCAGATGTTTCAAGTGAAGTATCGATTGTTAAGGGAGAACGAGACATCGAAGACTGACCGGAGGTATCGATAGTTAAAGGAGTGACTGACGTAAATGAAGATGAACGTATGTTGGAATCCAAAACGTCATGTCCCGTAAGACTTCCTGACGTGGGCAAACCACTGTCATCCTGACGACGAGCACGTTCATCGAGAGACGTGGCAAAATCAGTTAGGGTCATTTGTGAATCTAAATGGCTTCCCGAAACGTCTTGTTGTGCGTCATCATTGGTGATGCTGATTTGTTTATAGTCTTCAAAATCAGGTGAAGAGGGTCCACCTCCTTCCGGATCCAGACTCGTTTCACTGATACGATGGTCTTCAAATGTGACATTTTGCAAATTTTCCTGCTTAAAATCTGTGGTACTCTCAGTGCCAAAAGTATGAACTGAGCGTTCCACCTGACTATTTAAGGCTTCAATTCCTCCCCTGGAAACATCTGATCCTACGTCTCGTCCAGCATTTTCTGCACACAAAAATGTTTCAGATCCAACATGAAAATTAGAAGCAGGTAGTTCCTCTTGGACGTTACGTAATTCAGGTGAACGAAATGAGTTCTCGTTTACAACTTCTGTCCCTTCAGAATCTATTACGTCACTTGAAAGCGAAGGGCTGTGCTGAGAATTTGGTGTCACAGTCGCGATGGAAGTTGATTCACTTACAGAATTTGGAACAAGCAAATTCTGATTGCTCTGTTCTGGGACCGCAGACTCGTCTTGGCCACTTGTAACTGCGTCATATTGATGTTTATCGAAATCTTCCTCGATTGCCCTAGATGGTTTCCCTGCCACAACTCCCAAAATAGATTTATCGTCTTGTATTTCTAAATATGATGATATATTATTGATTTCAGATCTTGTACTTGGAATCTCACCTTCATGATTCACAGTCGAATCTACTGCACGACCTGATAATAAAATCTGTGTCTGACATCCTGTAGCTGGAAACTGATCAAGGACTGTAAGTGCACTGGAACACTTATCTGTTATAAATTCTGACAACGGAATATTTGTTCCGCCTTCTTGAACAGGAACTTCACTGCCAGGTTCAACCGTGCTTTTCCTATCCGATATCTCGCTGCTGTACAAATCTGACAACAGATCTTCGAGGTCAGATTCTGTTTCGAGAATACGCGTTGGATATTTTACACCGAGAAAGTCGTTTGGTGAATCTCCTTCAAAACTTTGTTCATTAACTGAACCCAAAGAAGAAGTGTGTGATTCATCGTCAGTGTTTAAAATAGGAATTTCATTCTGCTGGGAATCTGTATCTTTCAAACTGAGAGGATATTTTTCGATCCCAGCGTCAGAAGAAAATGTCTCTTCAAGCACACAGTCAGACAGTCGTGGGCCTGGACTTTGAGTTTGGGTTTCTGAAATCAAAACTTCATAACGCGCACCAATATTTACAGGATGTATCTCACTTTGCAAGCCAGAAGTAAATTCATCAGCGAATGCCTCCTGGGACCTCCTGTCGTATTCTTCATGAGGGATGTGCGATATCGCATTCTTGCCAACATTGTTAATCACATTTACCTCACTCTCATCGTTATCCAGTGACGATGCCAAAATGTTAGGTTGTTTCTCGTAACAGAGGACCTCATTTTTATGCTCGTCAACAGAAGACGACAAACCATTTCCGCTATCACTTCCAGATTCCTCGTAAGTCGAAGAGTAATTATTTTTGTCAGCGTTCTCAAAACGTTTCACAGTAAAACCATTCTGAATATTAGACGAAGTGTCCAAAGACTGATTTTCAGTCCGATTTAAAGTATCACAAACATCGTCAAATGTCCCAAATTCAAAATTATCACTCGGCTTTTTCCGCCAACGTTCGTAAGAAGCCGTGTAACCGGAAGTTACAGCACAATGTGGAGTCCACAGAGGAAGGTAGCCATCTTGAAAATGTCTGACACAAGCGAGAACTTCCAAGACACCAACGCACACCACCAGAACAGAGAGAAGTAACCCCATTCTGCCCTTTCAACACTCCCTACAGATGTTTAACGTATGAATAAAGTCCAAATTCGACAAAATCCTCATATCTTTAGACAGACAAGTCGCCTCTAAACCTACTCGTACGGTCCCCGACACTCGTTTGGTTGCAGTGCGACAGAGTTAGGACTCAGCCAGTACCCTAAAGATATTCTTGGTCGACGAATGTAACAAACATCAAGGGGCTAGGCCAGGGATTATAATTGTGATAGACCTCAATATCCAAACGGAGGAAGTGACATTGAGAGCAGCAGGTGATTAGAGAAATGTGTGACCTACTTCTGTCAGAATTTCATCAACGCGAAGCTTAGCGTTCAGTATACACAAAACATACATTTTGTTTCCGACATACGGATGAATTTGGCAAAGCGAACTTCAGTCGTCAATAGGTCACGTGACGACATACACCTCCGCTATCTTTTTCCGAGCCAACTAGGTGATGATTCACAAACAGCGCCCCGCGAATCGCAGGAGCTAATCAAAGACAGAAATCAAAATAACACAAAGTCTTCCAATACTAATAACGAAATGGTTGTAAAATAGATATCTTCTGACCGTGCATCAGAATTGAGTTTCTCTAACATCCATATGATAAAAAAATGAAAAAAAAATTCCGACAAAAAAATTTTCGCGGCCAAAATCAACGCACAAGGACAAGAGTTTGTTAATGTCCAAAATTTATAGTCAGTTCCACAAAAGCACAGTTAAAAATTTCCCTGTTAATTTTGTGAGCCAGATTAAATATCTTGAACACGTCACTATAATCCTGTAAAGAAACATTAGCACATTCAGCTACAAAAGATAATAATAGTTTTTAACATTCAAGGATTCCCCCAATATTTCTGTGGGCATTAAAAGCAAAGTTCGATTAGCCCTGGTACAGGCTTACCAACACAGGACGTGAGGTAAATAATACGCCGAGAAATGAAAGGGTGGTCATATAACATTTTCGATAACGATTACGATGTCAATAACATTATTGTTAATACAAATAACAATAATAAAAAGACGGCGAGGAATTATGATTATTTTTAAAAGGGAAAGTGAAATTCTGTGCTCTGGTGTGGAGGTTCTGTCTGTACCATATTGCGTTACACGCAGGGCCGAATACAGCGCCGTCCAAGGAATAAACACGACACGTTTCTCGTCTGTGAGACAGAGAGAGAGAGAAGTGGCTCACTTTTATCTGTAAAATCATAGAGCTCCCCTGCAGGAATTCTATTTGTGTGCACCTAGAACGCAACTCTTACGGCGACAGAAATAACCCGGAGCTTGAAAATTTCTCATACTTATGCAGCACCTCCTCTGCAAGTTTCAAGCCACATTTTGGTAGCTACTAATTCTCTTTAAGACGATAATACGGAAGACTCGTAGAGAAACATAGCATTCCTCGTATTCGACAGCGCCGAGTGGCAATAACAGAGCGTCCTGTCTCTTGGCATCGAATCTGTACAAACTCTGACTTCCGTCTGCTTGATAGGAAGCCATATAAGGCGTAATAACACGATGATGATAGAAACCCTGTGTAATTTCACCAAAGTTTCATCTTACAGACCCAGAATTTTACAGATGACAACATCAACACCCAAGAACTAAAGTCACTGACAGAAATACGAGCCATGACAGATTGAAAGCAGCGGTCATGTAAACCACAACGCCGAAAATGCCTTAAAAGTGTTACCATGGTGACAGCTATAATACTTATTCATCCCGCCTACACGGTCATCAATATTGTTCTATTATTTATATGTACGGAATGGAGGTAAAGTTCCAGGCATTTTAAAATTCCAATCTAGACAGAGATGAATTATCAGCTAAGCGAATTCTCTCGTCTTTACCCACTAGACAGCGCCGATTAGGTACGAAAGTGCGTACAGAATTTCTGAAAACATGACAAAGACTTTGTCTAGTACCAAATCCCGCACTTTTACTCAGAAGGTAAAACTTAAAACTTAATTTCAATTAATCACATTCAGTCATACGAACGATTCTAAGTATTAGTCTTTAAAAACTTCCGTTCCAAAACCCAAAAACTTTGTCTGCTCCCTTACACAAACAATCCGTAGAGTTACATAAATTTATCCGAAAGAGAACTGAACAGTCTAAACAAACTTTCGGCTCGGCGTACGTTTAAATAAAGACGAGACGAACCAAATGCTTCACACAGGCATCGCTCGATGTTCGCCTTGTCTCTCCACG